GAGGGTGGCTTTGTTCTTGAGGGAAGATGGGAGAGGTTTTAGCACAGTTATGAGACACAGATGAAAGGGGAGAGCAAAACCCTTTCTACTTTTGTGTACTCATTTCGGCTTCGGTATATTCCTCTTTCGAAAAGTTATTTAAATTTTTGTGCTTAATTTCTTTTACACTTTTTTCTACATAATAGCTACTCCATCCGGTTCATAATAAGTGGCCAATTTACTTTATCATTTTGGTTCAAAATAAGTGTTCAGTTATATAATCAAGAAAGAATTAAATCTTTTTTTACAAAATAACCCCTATGTACATATCCCTAAAAAGTTTTCTTACTCCTCACATTAAATGCTTAATTAAGGGTAGTTTAGTCATAGTAGGTATTTTTGTATAGAATTTCGTATTTTCTTAATGGGCGTGCTAAAAGCAAATTGGTCACTTATTGTGAATCGGAGGGAGTACCAGTTTCGACATGCATGTTTAGTGGCAATAAATTTCAAATCATGGATAATTTAGTCATTTGATCTATCAGGAGATACGTGGCTTCTATTCCTACAACCACCGCTTAATTTTGTAGCTCTTCCTTTTCTTTCGATCCTTTTCCCATGAGTTCTCTCCAGTCTTCTCAAAGATACTTTTCCCAGTTCATTGTTAGCTCATCTTTTAAATCTTGTTCTTTCCCTCTTGATTTGTATGTATGATGATTTTTGGCATGAAAGAGAAGTGTATAGGGCACAAAGGAGAGACAACTTGGAGCTCTTCATCAGAAACAAAGGTAAATTTTCTCTATCACTTTGTTTCCTTCATGTTTTACATCTCTTCTTCCTTTTTTTTCCATCTCAAGTGTTGTCCTTCTCTTTATTTCATTCTAATCGTGGAATGCATGTATCTCTGTTGATTCAGCAAATTTGACGTGGTCGGAATCTCTTGGTTGATTGTGTTACTCCAATTTCATCAGAAAATTTCAAATATCCAAATTCTATTTTTTTTATAAGCTACCAGTTTCGACATGCGTTCTTAGTGGCAATAAATTTCAAATCATGGGTAATTTAGTTATTTGATCTATTAGGAGATGTGACTTCTATTTCTACAGCCACCGCTTGATTGTGTAGATATTCCTCTTTTTTCGATCATTTTCCCATGAGTTCTCTCTGGTCTTCTCGAAGGTACTTTTCCGAATTCACTGTTAGCCCCTCTTCAAAATCTTGTTATTTCCCTCTTGATTTATATGTATGACGATTTTTTGCATGAAGGAGAAGTGTATGGGGCATAAAGGAGAAACAACTTGGAGCTCTTCATCAGAAATAAAGGTAAATTTTCTCTATCTCATTGTTTCCTTCACGTTCTGCGTCTCTTTTTTCCTTTTTTTCATCTCAATTGCCCTTTTCTCTATTTCATTCTGATCATAGAATGTATGTATCTCTATTGATTCAACAGATTTAGCATGGTCAGAATCTCTTGGATGATTGTGTTAACTCCAATTTCATCAGAAAATTTCAAATATCCAAATTCTAATTTTTCTATATAATAGAAGAGCGATCAGTTTCGACATGCGTGCTTAATGGTAATATATTTCAAATAATGGGTAATTTAGTGATTTGATCTATAGAGATACGTGGCTTCAGTTCCTACAGCCACCGCTTGATTGTGTAGCTCTTCCTCTTCTTTCGATCTTTTTCCCATGAGTTCTCTCCAGTCTTCTCAAAGGTACTTTTCCTAGTTCACTGTTAACTCCTCTTCCAAATCTTATTATTTCCCTCTTGATTTGTATGTATGATGATTTTTGGCATGAAGGAGAAGTGTATAGGGTATAAAGGAGATAACTTGGAGCTCTTCATCAGAAACAAACGTAAATTTTCACTATCTCATTGTTTCCTTCATATTCTACGTCTCTTCTTCCTTTTTTTTCATCTCAAGTTTTACCCTTTTCTCTGTTTAATTTTAATCGTAGAATGAATGTATCTCTGTTGATTCAGCAGATTTAACGTGGTCAGAATCTCTTGGTTGAGTGTGTTATTCCAATTTAATCAGAAAATTCCAAATATCCAAATTTTAATATTTCTATATAATAGAAGGGCGACCAGCTTCGACATGCGTGCTTAGTGCCAATAAATTTCAAATCATGGGCACTTTAGTCATTTGATCTATCAGGAGATACATGGCTTGTGTTCCTACAACCATCGCTTGATTATGCAGCTCTTCCTCTTCTTTCGATCCTTTTGGCAGGGTTCTCTCCAGTCTTCTCAAAGGTACTTTTCCCAGTTAACGGTTAGCTCCTCTTCCAAATCTTCTTGTTTCCCTCTTAATTTTTATGTATCATAATTTTTGGCATGAAGGAGAAGTGTATAGGTGTGATGACATTTTTCCTACTAGTGTTGCAAGTAAATTCAGCGTTCCGAGGCCTAAAACCTCCTTTTTTACCTCACCTTGATTTGCGTGCATGGTTCGAACCCATATCCCAAGCCTTCTATGTGAAAAGATGAGAAATAGAAATTTCTAGAATTAAAAATTTGATTTTTGATTAACTTTGGTCAATATTTTGAGCAAACGGACCCGGATCCGTGTTCCGACGATCCCGGGAGGTCCGCAGTAAAATATGGGACTTGGGCGTATGCCCAGAAATGAATTCCGAGGTCCCAAGCCTTAGAAATCAATTTTTGAAAGAAATTATTTTGTGGAATTATCTAAGAAAAGAATTAATGTTTGAAACCATTGGTATCAGGCCTGTATTTTGGTTCCGGAGCCCGGTGCAAACTTGTTATAGTATTTAAAAGATAACTGTGAAATTTGGTGAAAAACGGAGTTTATTTGACGTGAGTTGGACTTCCGGTTGAAGAGTTATGAACTTTGAGAGTTCTTGATGAAAATATTGAGTTTTGATGTTTAATTCATAATTTTACATGTTATTTTGATGATGTGATTGCACAAGTAGGTCCATATGATACTTTTGAGCTAGTATGCACGTTTTGTTTGAAGTCCCGAGGGCTCAGGTGAGTTTCGGGTAGGTTCCGGGATGTTTTAGGCTTAAAACATAGTTGTTGCAGGTCCAAAGATGTTGCAGATCTCTGAACCCGCCAGTGCTGACTGCATTAATTTTGTGCTGACCGCGGAGGGACCTTTGTGGCTGCACTCCTTTTTGTGCGGTTCACGGTGAGGAAGAATTTCACTGGTTTGACTTCGGAAGCCTATATATTTTGATCTACAAGAAATGTTGAGATGATTCATAAATGAAAGTTGTAGCTCTTCGTATCTAGTTTCTAGAAAAATAAAGAAATCACAATTTGGACATATGTAGAGAAAGTTATGGCCAAAATACTAAAGCATGTCACTGCAGTCAACATTGTGAGCTCCGCGGCCGCACCCCTTTTTGTGTTGTCCGCACAGGGGTTTGAGAGGGGTATATTTAAACGGGATTTTCAGTTATTTTTCATTTTTCAAAACCCCAAAAATATAAGAGGCAATTTTTCAAACAACTTTTCTTCTCCAAAACATTAGTAAGTGAGTTCTAACTCATTTTCTTTACTCCTTAACTTCTTTTTACAAGATTTCATCCTAGAATCTAGGATTTTCATGGTGGAATTGGGGAATTTTGGGTAAAACCTAAGAAAATTAAAATTTGGGGATTTAGACCTCAAATTGAGGTCAGATTCCAAAACCAATTATATATCCGGGCTCGGGGTGAATGGGTAATCGAGTTTTTATCCGAATTTCGGGTTTGGACCAAGCGGGTCCGGGGTCGATTTTTGACTTTTTGGGAAAAACTTTAAAAAAAATTATTTCCATGCATTAGAAATGTTTCATTTAGCACTTATTAATATTATTAAGTAACTTGTGGCTAGATATGAGCAAGTTGGTGGTTGAATCAAGAGGTAAAGCAATAGTTGAGGCTTGAGTTGTGTTCGTGGCATCGAGGTAAGTGTTTGGTCTAACCTTAGCTTGAGGGATTAGGAGTTGTGTCTTATTTGCTATTTGCTAATTGTGGAGTACGACGTATAGGCATGGTGACGAGTATCTATACGTCAATGTCAAGCATGTCCGTGAATCTTGTATTGTAATTGTTGTGACTCCGTTGAGATTTATTGTGCTTCATATGAGGATTATCATTATTGTTCCCTTGCCGGGATGTTGTTGTCATATTGTTGTTCCCTTGCCGGGATGTTGTTGTTATATTATTGTTCCCTTGCCAGGATTCTGTTATGTTTGGTATTGATAAATGAAAAGAGAGCGGGTTGCATGCCTGCAACAGTAACATATGAAATGGGAGCAGGTTGCACGCCTACAACGGTAACATATGAAAAGGGAGCGGGTTGTACGCCTGCAACGGAAATATATGAAATGGGAGCGGGTTGCACGCCTGCAACGATAATTTATGAAATGGGAGCGGGTTGCACGCCTGCAACGATAATTTATGAAATGGGAGCGGGTTGCACGGCTACAACGGTAATACATGAAATGGGAGCGAGTTGCACGCTGCAACGGTGCAATATGAAATGGGAGCGGGTTGCATGCCCGCAACGGTATTACATGTGTGCTCGTTCTTCTTATTTCCTTATCTTTGCAAGTAATTGATTTATAGCACTCCTTACATTTCTCTACTATTGTTCTGTTGTTATCTGTTACACCCCGCAACATGTTTCCCCCGCCCAATTTTAGTCGTAATTATCTTCTTCTATTTTTGCTATATAT